TTTTTTTGGAAAAAGGTGACGGTTAGGACTTAGAGCAGCTTACTGTACTGCACAAGCTTATTTCCCTACCAGTCTGACTGGCACGGAGTTTACTTAGCAGTATCAGACCAGTACCAGAACTTCTGCTGTGAACATTTCGTACCAACTGACTACTTACTTGTCATCTTTCTCTACATCATGACACACATCCACGATCTGAAGAATGTTGTGGTTTGCACTCAATTCTAATGCTCCAATGTTGATGTGTACATACTCTTTCAAAAAGTCTTCAGCCAGCTGTCTGACTTCCTTTGGCCAGGTTGCACTCCACATCAGAGTCTGCCTATCAGGCTAGAGAAGGAGACTGGGTTAGTACAAGACTCCAAAGTTGAACCAAATGCCCCATCAAAAAAGTCTACCCAAGACAAGCCCAAATAAGTTAACTGCACTGATCTTGTTTTAGAGAACATAGTTGCATACATATGCCATTTATACTCACTCTGATCTGATCTACAATTTTTCTGATCTGTGGTTCAAATCCCATGTCAAGCATTCGGTCAGCTTCATCGAGTACAAGGTAAGTGCACCTCCTGAGATTGGTCTTTCCAGCTTCCAGGAAGTCTATAAGTCTTCCAGGTGTCGCAATGCAGATTTCCACACCTAAAACAAAAGCAGCAAGTTAGATGAAGTAGTTTCCACATTGCCTCATACAGAGAGGCACCAAGGCTTATCCATACCTCTTTCTAAGTCACGAATTTGTGGTCCCTTTGGAGCGCCTCCATAAATACATGTAGACTTCAAACGGCATGCTCTGCTATACTCTGCAGCTACCTGCTGCACTTGCTGAGCCAGTTCACGAGTTGGTGCCAGTACAAGACACTAGGAATAAGATGTTCAGCTTTTAGTTATTCAAAGAAACCAAGTTTCTAGTCTTAAACTTTTTTTGTGTAATAAGAGTTTTGTAAGGCGCACACACTCACAAAAAACCCTCTATACTACAATGCTATCACCAGAATGTATAAATAAAACAATTATTTGACTAGACACAACTGGAAAGCCAAATTACCTCAGCTACCACCAGACACTGGCCCTTGTTATGTCATTGGGTGGTATATCTGGAAATCACCAGTTTCCAGGAGATGACTATTCCAAAACAGAGCTTCTAACCCTGTTTTGCAGAATTTAAATTTGAGCTCATGAAATAATCTTGGGAGAATACTAGAAACACAAAATCATTTTTACTAATAATGAGAAATACAATATTGCTAAGACATAAGAAAGCTTCTGTAGTCACATAAGCACGAAATGGACTAACAAATTCACATTTGTTTACAGTAAGATCCTTTTCATTCAGGAATACTTACTATAGGTCCATCTCCTCGCTCTAGGAATGGCTGATGATTTATATGCACAATGGCAGGCAACAAGTACTGTGTGCAGTGAAAAAGAAAAAAAAATAATTATAGTTTATTTCCAGAAGCGTTCAAACTGCATAAAGTCAGGCAACATCATCACTGCTGAAATTCAGCATCAGTCTTAAGTTACAATCAAAACTTACAGACAGCGTTTTCCCTGATCCAGTCTGCGCGACTCCAACCATATCCAGTCCACTCAAGGCAACAGGCCATCCTTGTGCTTGAATAGCAGTTGGTTCAGTGAAATTCTGCCTCTGAATCACTTCCATAACATTTGCTTGAAGAGAGTATTAGAACTCATTAACTTTATTTTAATCAAACCTGGAAAAGCTAAGTCTGGCAATACACTGTTCTGCACTTACCAGGAAAGTTAGCTTCATAGAAGTTTATAATTGGTTTTGGACAGTTATGGCCCCTGACTGTTACTTCTTTGCTGGATCTGTACTGTTCAACCTCTTGCTGCAAGACAAAAATGCCCATGATTAGAATTAAGATTTGATACCATGCCCCAAGACTCTTAGCATGTTTATACTTTGTTTACTTTTGCACAAGCTGGATAGGGTACATACCACAGTACGTCTAACTACATCAGGATGTTCTTGATAAAAGTTCTTCTCAAATTTGGGAAGTTCATCTAAATTCCATTTCTTTTTTGTAAGCTTTTCCCCAGGGTTTCCAAATTTCTTTCCAGATAGCAGTCCGCCTCTACTCCCCCCAAAACGAGGGGCTCCAAACCTAGAGAAGAATACACCATGATATAGATTTCTTTTTTGTTTACAACTTGATTATCTTGACAGCACAACCTACAACCCCACAATTCAGTCTTATACACTTCACATATACTAAAACTCCAAAGCCTACTGAAGTTGTAGCTACCACAGTTTACCTAGTTGTAACTCATGGTCAGAAACTACAGTAACCCATTACCTTGCAGTTTCCACAAAACTAAGGGATTTCCTAACAATCTATAACTTAGTGAGAACTAAGTGAGAACATGGCTGCATAAGCCCCACGAGGAAAATGGTTTCCCACATGTGTGTCAGCCCACAGCATGGGTACGGGGCACTTTGGCAATATTGGATTTACCTAGTTGTAACTCATGGTCAGAAACTACAGTAACCCATTACCTTGCAGTTTCCACAAAACTAAGGGATTTCCTAACAATCTATAACTTAGTGAGAACTAAGTGAGAACATGGCTGCATAAGCCCCACGAGGAAAATGGTTTCCCACATGTGTGTCAGCCCACAGCATGGGTACGGGGCACTTTGGCAATATTGGAACAACTTTCACATTAACTGTGTTTTTCTTTTTTTTTTTTTTTTGGTATCCCTAAGGGCCGGCTCCCTTCAGTAACAGCATTTTT